AAATCATATCAAACGTCTACATTCACTATATTAGTCTCCGCTGTAGCTCCCATTACCTAAATTCCCAGAATGCATTGCCGCTGTGACGAAACCTTCCCATTCTCTATATGCTGAGAACATTTTGAAAATAACATCTAATCAATATAATCTATAATCTTTTTAAATCTAACTGTTTTGTACCGTATCCGTGTAATTCTCTAGCCATAAAGGCTATCTTTCCCCCGGTTTTCTGCAACCATGATGTACGCGCATCCCGAATGTTTACAAACCTATAATTGGTCTATAAGTTAACTCATTCCCCACCAGCGTTTTAAAAAGCTGCAGCATTTTTGATTATTTTCACAAATCTTTCATGGTCCCCAAAATATTTTGTTGTATATATAGCTGAACAGACAATAACAAAATAATTCTACTTCATGCATTCTTTTTTTGCAGGTAATTTTTATTTAGAAAGCAACATTTTGAGCAAAAGGCTGAGAAAACTGTGTTTTTGTCAAAGACTACAACACATGTATGAAATGATTCTATCACTTGTTTCTGCCTCTTTTCGCTTGTTTTTTGAGATTCTGTAACTCTTTCAGAAGACGATAGCACCCCTACCATATAAAAACATGGATTGCCAAAAATGGCAGGGAAGCCTTGTCTCATAAATGACAGAAAAACTCTGTCAATTGTGGGAAAATAGTTAAAAAGTCCTACATGAACATGAAGGACCCTTCTGTAAAAAATACAACAGGTTTTTGATATAGCTACATGTTTAAATTCATGTTAGTGTATCATAATTTTAAAAAGATTTGACAAAAGTAAGCTTTCTTTGTGAAAAGAACTATTTATGTCTGTAAGGGACCATTTGAAATGCTGCATTTATGTTTCTAATATAAGAAGCATGTATGAATTGTGTTATGAAACATAAAACATTTGTAATTTGACAGATTTTTTTTCTCAAAACTTTGATGAAGAGTTTAGTGAAGGATTTTATGAATGCTCTGACTGATAGGCTATTAATCAGTATCAGCCTATACTAGCTTTTGATGACTCGAATGGTGGTGTCTTGTATTTGCAGATCTCTGACATTGCTAAAAGTGGTACCTACCTCACAAATATGACATGCTTGTGTAACTCACAATGGCAGTGTCTCAGTCTGCACTGCCAGACTGGTAAAATAATAGACAATACAAGAAGATAAGTTTTAATTCTTGCTTTATTAATTAACTTCTGACCGATTTACAATAACTGTAGGAGCTACTCAGTCTGTCTATAGGCTCGAAACGAACACAAGATCACATTTTTTCTTCCTATTTCATACCATGTCCCTTTAGGAGCTCCATGGAATCAGAACACAATAAAAGGTGAAAGGTTGATACAATCAATAATGACAATCAATTATTTAATTTTATACCATAAATCAAAATGATATATAAGAAAAAAAAAATCATACTTTTTGTTCTTTTGGAGGAAACTCAATATTTGAGTTAATCTCATTGTCTCAAGTCTTATACTTGAAACTGTTGGTTTTGAAGGTGAACTTTATTTGCTTTGACAACTTTGGATGTTTCTTTGCCTTGTCACTTGTGGCTGGTTAAGACTTTATGGAGTAAAGCTTTTATTGCTTGACATATTGTGTCAAGTTTGATGAGGACGCAACATTGCACTTGAAGTGCAGGACCTGAACAGAAACTACTTAATGTGATTTCAGACATATGTTTTTTGTATGACGGAGAAGAGAAGATGATTGAGTGAAACTTTTCCCACATGAAAAGCAGTAATACGGCTTCTCTCCAGTGTGTGTCCTTTCATGTCTTTTCCAAGATCCAAATTGACTGAATCTCTTGTCACAGTGTGAACACTTGTAAGGTTTTTCTCCAGTGTGAATTCTCTGGTGCTGTTTCAGTCCAGCATCTGTAATAAAGGTCTTCCCGCAATCAGAGCATATATGATCCTTCACACCGCTGTGACTTTTCTGGTGTACTTTTAAAACACTTAGCCGTGAAAAACTCTTTCCACACAAAGAACACATGTGAGGTTTCTCCTTTGTATGAATTTTCAGGTGTAACTTTAGGGATTTTGCCCCAGAATAGCTTTTTCCACACTGATCACAGTTGACGATCACAAATTGTCTTACTTCAGAATGAGAATTCAGATGTGATTTCAAATTACTTAGATTTGCAAAACTCTTCCAACACTTATCACACACATATGGCTTCTCTCCAGTGTGGATCCTCATGTGTTCAGTAAGGTTTCCTTTCTGTGTGAAACTCTTCCCACATTGATCACATGTGTACGGCTTCACTCCATTATGACTTCTCAAGTGAACTTTTAAAACTTTTTTGTAGATGTAACTATTTCCACACTGAGGACAAGTGTGCTTTTTGGCTGTTCTTCTCTGTAAGAAATTGCTTTTAGTCTGTGAGCGACTCAAATGACCAGTTTTGGCATGATGTTTCTGCTCTGCTTCACTCAGATCTTCGCTCTCCTCACTCTCTTCCATCAGATCTAAATTGAAAGTAAAGGTTTAACTTTAAGTAAATCATGAATTCAAAGACAGAAATGTAAAGGGAAATGACATTTGCTATAGAAAATTATGATTGTTTTGATGATTTTTTTATAAATTAATATAATATAAATTAATGTCTCTGCAACTTTAATTGGATATATCGATCTTCTAATTATTATTTTTAAAACATTATAATCACAAATCCCATGTTTTGTAGAAAGAACTATTAAATGTTTAAATATAATATTGACATTGATTATAACTATTTAATAATACCATAACTTAAAAAAAACTGAGATGGCAAACATGAACATGGTTTGTGTACGATTAGCAACACATTATTAGCTCTTTGATAACATCGCCAATACAAAGGCTTATGATCTTATAGACAACCCTGTATAATTCACTCTTCCTCTTCTGAATCAGTTCCTGGTTTAAACATTGTTGAATTAATTATATTATCATATTCATTAAAATATGAATATTTTCTAGTAATTAGAAGATTATAAAATCAGTGTAAGATAAAGAACTCATGATATTTACCCTGACCTCCTCATGTTCACAATGATTATGAATGTTTGCTCCTTTCACTGATCCTTTGCTTGAAAAAAATTAGTTTCAGGCTCCAGTTTGTACCCAGTTCATAAAAAGTGTTTGGTATATTATTTATATCATATTATTTTACAGCTTTTAGGACTTTTTTACAACCACTAAATTACAATTACAACCACTAAATCTAATTGAAAACTGTTTTAAGTTCTATAACCCTAATGATCTTCAGCATCATAAATGAAGAATCAGCAATAAACACCAACCTCTTTGTTCTTCAGGATCTTCATGTTCCATTCTGCAGGATTCTGGATCACTCATGTTCTCAGTCTTCTTTCATGAACTGTCTTCTTCACTTGTGGGCTGGTGGGGAGATTCCAGCATTTATTAGGGAGTAGTGGGAGGAGCTCCACTGGTGAGTTGTTGTAGGAGACTCACAAAAGGTGGATTGCTGTGCTTAAAGAAAAGCAGATCTGCCAACATCCAAAATAAAGGAGTTACTGAATCAGTTACACACAGTTTAAGCATTTATGTTTTGTGTTTATCTATCAATTTATGAAAATGTAACATTTAGTTATTACTTATTTCTGTTTTGTTTGTGAATCATCTAACTATTTAATTCCATTTTTATCCTTTTACCAACCGTACACAAAACCGTGAACAAAAGAAAAGAGATATAGAAAAATATACATTCATACCACAATTAAAATAATCCAAATATAAAGTATGAATAATAAAACAGAAGAAAACATTCAGAAATAAATGTACAGATTTGTAAAGCAACAAATAGCACATACTCCAACTGAGTGCAATGTCATGTAGCTGAGTTTTTGTTAATTGGTTTTTACATTATTTTTTTCTTGTTTTTATATGAAATGGGGTTTATCACAGACTATAAAGAAATAAATGCTTTTAAAAGATTTATATCTTGGTATGAAAAGTGGTGATCACATAGTTGGCCTCAATAGCCGTGTTTCCACTGTTGGGCGAAAAGCGGGCGTGCTAGTGCGTGCCAGGGCCCGTCACGTTTCCACTGTCACTTATGGTGCTTGATCGTGCCTCGTCGGTGCTTCCTCGGGGCCAACGGCCTGGGTTTTTTGGCCCGACGAAAACCTTGGGCCAAAGCGAGCCAGCTGGGGCTAGAGGAGTGGTTATGAACAAAGGCGGAGTTTCTCCGCGTCTGGCGAGCGCCAGCGCCGCGAATCATTTCATAAAGTTAACAGCTAACACCAGCATTAAGACTTTTAAAATAATTTTAGCTCAAAACTCACTTTCAGACAGCAGCGAGTGTTTGAAATAACTTCTGTTTGAGATCCAATGTGGATTGTAATCACCATACAAGGCAGAAATATTTACAAACGACGCAAAAGACTATGCACGCTAGCCATTAGTAAATATGGTAAATAGCCTACGACTGCTTGAAGAAATCAGACGTCAGCTTCTCATTCAGACTATCATAATCGTGTATTTATTTAGTAACATATTTGATCTGTCTCTTCTCAAGACGTTAGCTCCGCGTAGCTATGTCATATAAAATATCATTCAAATTATTTTTGTTCGGGAACTTCCTCTGCTACTCAGGTCGTATTTTTTGATGGAAAGAATATAGAAATTATTCTTATTAAATGTGATGTATACTGTGTAGGGCTGCACGATAAATCGAAATGGAATCGAGATCGCGATTCGACAGAAGCTGCGATTGTCATGCGTATCTTTCAGTGAAGCACGGTTCTGTGATCAGCAGTAAATCTCCATCCAAAGGCCAGAGGGCGCTCTCGCGCTGAAACTCCAAATACGCCTCGCAGAAGAAACCCAGAAATTGCCTATCGCCATTTACTTCACAGAGCCGTAGTTCACTGAGAAGCTATGCAAACAGGGCTCTGGCTTGTCCACTCAAGGACATTCACTTTCTTATCCTTAAAGGGTTAGTTCACCCAAAAATGAAAATTCTGTCATT